GTATCTTGATCCGTGGTTTTCAAAAGTAGAGCTTCAGTGGGGGGATGGACTGAATGAATAACTTTATCAGTTTTAGTGGTCCATGTTTTCAGAAAATCATCCAAAATATTTAAATTCATAATGGAATGATGTGTTAGACAAAACCAAGAAACAAAAGGTATAACCATTTTATTTTCTTGAAGATAATTATAAAATTGTGTTTTATAAAACTGTAACTTTTCATCATCAAAAGTTTTAAAATCCCAATTTCTAAACTCTTGATATTTGTCCTGTTGAAATTCAGCATTAATGGCTTTTCTATCAGGTGTAAAATCCATTAAAACTAATATTCTTCTCTTTCATCACTTTTCTCTTCAGTTTCAACACCCAATTCTGATGGTGTGGGAGTGACTTCAATTCCAAATTCCCGTCGTGATGGATTCTTTGGTGCTGGTTCATAAACAGCATGTGGAATCTTGTTCTGTGATTGCTGGAGTCCCTTCAGCTTGAGTTGATTAGCCTCTGTAAATTCATCTTTGTCCTTAGACATTCCTGAAACAGAGTTGCGAGAAGGGGGATAGGAAACTTTATAAAGAAATTTAATTCCTCCAGATGATGTAGATCTGGGTAGATCTAAAGATCTTCTAAAATTAAGAAAAACATCACCATCACGATCCTGGATGATACAGTCTAAATTCCTATTAAGAATAGGTTTGCAGGAACTGCATTAAGAATTGTCTAATGGTCTGGGAACGTTATGTTACTCCAAGAAATTAGCCTTTTTGTGGCAATATTTGAAGTGAACATGTTTATATCCTAAAGCGCACTTGCTCCTTTAGAGTCTTTGCAAATAACTTTCGAACAGTAGGTATTAAGTACCTTATAGCGGATACGATAAATCACACTTATCACTTCCGATCCAGGTAAAAAATTATACCCATGAGTCTGTACACGAAGACTAGCTGCTTCGTATATAATTCTATCTGTCAAAGATAGATTTAGACTAGGATATACATCAAAGTAAACCGGTCCATAACATAGACTGGTTTCTAGTGCACCCATTAAAGAAGGGTGAAAATCCAAACACCTAGCATCCCTAAGTGTTGCCTAGATACAAGCATCCATACCAAGTAAGGTTAAAGGTTTAAAAGCAATTTAAATTAAACCTATATGGATATACTTGTATTTCTTCATGTATCTCTGAAGATCATAGGGAGACAATAATTTAATTATTGTGTCCTTGTTACTCAATTGCGTCGTCTGTTCCATAGTTTTAACTGCCCATAGATCAGCGATGTTGAGCATTCCGATTTTGTAAATGCTTCTTGCATCTACTGGTGGAATAGTCCACTTGTTCAATTTATTTTGAACATCAGTAAATTCAATTAATTCTGAATTCTTAATCAATTCAGAATCCTGTGAATCTTGTTCTGCCATACTGGAAGATGGGTTTAATATGGTTGTTAAATATTGTTAATGCTTAAGATCTGTATAAAATAATTATTATAAATTTATGTAATGAACAGTAAGTTACTATTCTGTCGTCGTGCTGCTTAAGAGAGGTCCTATTATTCGTCTATCAACGGTTTACTGGAAACAACGACCTGTGAAGCAATTTAATGCAAAAATGGTCTAACATTCCAACGCGACTTTTGGACGACCCATAATAGAATTTGCTGATAAGCAGGAGTTAAACAGATTAATAGTCTTATTGTTCGTTACATAATTATCATAATAATCATCCTACCAGAAACTTAAAACATTAACAATAATATTTAAGCCAACATAATGGCTCTGATACCAAATAGTGGAAGGATCGATATATATACAATAATCATATGTAATATTCGATTACTTTTATTAGGTTTAGCACTCAATTCTAAGTTTTTCTATGACTCTATTTTCATTGAGTTTGCTGAGAATGTGCTCATAACCAAACTTGATTCTCTTCCTTGCTCCAAAATAATTCAAAATTATAATGACATCAGTTGATTAATGTATACTGAAATAACTGTTGTGGAAATTCCACATATTTATAGAAAAATATGAAGTACAATATTCATACTAAATGATTCAAAGATAATAAACAACAATACCAATCAGAATAATCTAAGAATGATTCTTTTTTTAAATTAAATAATACATCATTTGAACTATATGGATATAACATGCATATGAAATTAACAAGATAAATAAATGAAATTAAAATAATAATAGAAATTAAGAATGAAAACAACAATAATAAAATAGGTACGAATGAGCTGGCCTTATTGTTGAGGCATGTGTAAACACATTGACTTAAAGTTGATAGTCCTCCCCTTCGTGCAGGTATTGGTGAAACTAGTCAACTCTAAGATACAATCCAATCAGTTCATAGCGGCGTCTCCTCCATGTGCACGACCACAGGAAGACAAGGTCCAAGTCTATATAAGTCTAGTTGCTCATAAACTAAATATATAAAATACTCTCAAGTACAGTATACACATAAACATATATGAAAGAGTATAACAGATAGATGGAAACCTATTCTTTTAGAGTTTCACTCACACTAGATATACGTATCCATACTTCACACCTCTAGAATGATAAACATATAACCGATTTATAGTGTAAAAGAATGTAGCGGTTATAACAACATAAATAGAGAATTTAAATATAATTATTTCATCAATAAATATAATAAACCATTCTATTAAATAATATTTAATATAATGTAACTTAATATATAATTTAATATATTTATTAATTTTATTAAAATTATACCCAACAATCCCCACCTATTTTAATAAAATAAGTAAAATAATTGAGCAACTTTATACTATGCAATCGGTGTAGGTGCTTTCTGGGCTTGAACCTGCACTTAATGTGTTAGTCTCCATTTGAGGAACCTGAATGAACTAAGTCTTGAATTCGGTCTCTTGAGCCAAATTTTAACATACCACACACATAGTATTGACGATAGACTTGGTTTAGTGGATCAGCGCGATTAATGGCCATGCACTGATATCTTGATTCTCATGAAAGCTCTAGGGAACAGCCCAACTCCCATGGTCGCGGCCTCACAATGACTTTCACTTAGGTGAATCCTCCAAGGGTATATGTGACCTATACCCTGCGAGAGTATGCTCACCTTGAATTCATTCAGGGCAAAGCCCTTCCTTAACGTCACATCACAACACGGATGCCATAGGGATGAGTAGGAAAGAATCTCCTCGAGAAACCTCCTAAAAAGAGTATTGTCAATGAGTTACGCAGTGCAGATGGTGGGTCAGAGCCTGTGATTGGTCCTGAAGATCAGTAGAAGAAGATTGTTGCGAAGTTTGTCAGAGCAGAGGATGATAGTGAGGTGTTATAAAGATTCAATCCAAGTTGATGATGACACGAAGGTATGAAGAAGGTGGTGGCGTGAAGCCCATGAGGAACAAGTCTTGTGACAAGCCAGAGGATGCTCATTTTCAAGATGAGGCAAAGGTGATAGAGGTGAAGCCCACGAGGAACAAGTTTTGAGGATAAGTCAAGAATGGGTGCTAGTTCTCAAGATGGGGCATGGGGTGTGAAGAATGAAGGGGTTTGCTCTAAGCCCGATAAAGAGCAAAGGGGAATATGATGAGTGAAGAGGAGAGGTTTGTTGCTTTGATCCAGAAAAGTAATTGATGAAGATGAGTTGAAGATTGGTGGGTTGCCATGCGTGAGCAATTGAACACCAACGAGGTGGATGGATAAGATAGGAAAAATTAAGAATGATGAATTTGAGAAAAGGTGGAGATTGTTAGAGTGTTTCTCAAGTTCATCATAGTGCTTTATTTGAGGTGGAGAAATCTTCAGTTGAGGTGGAGCTATGAAGAGATCCTTGTTTAAGGTGGAGCAATGGAGAAGCACGTGAAGATTGAATTTTGAGCCAAGGTGGAGATTGTTGGGTTTGTGGCTCAAAATTTGTGCGCAAAAAATTTGTTTCCTTTTTCATTTTGGAAGTTGCGAGAAACAGTTTCCTGGTTGGTTTTGGAATCCAGAAGGCTTGGGGAAAAAGGCTGAAGATTTGGGAAAGAAGTTATACCTGCTATTTTAGAGTTGAAGATGGATATGGTAACTCCTTGTAGGTAAATTGATCATTGTCCAACAAGGAATTAGATTTGAGGAATACTTGTCCAACAAGGAATTGGGTTTTGAAGACTCTATAAATAGATATAGGTATAAGGGGTTTAGAGACAGAAGAGAGAAAAGATGTAAGGGGTTTAAGGGTGAGTGTTGTAAGGAGAGGGGAGCGTATATGTAATTCTCGAGTGTATACATGTAGCTTTAAAAGAGATGATGAGTGAGTGAGTAGGGTTTTGACATGTGCTTATATACTCTCTTCCTTGATTCATAATAATGAAATCTCTCTCTCCTACGGACGTAACCCTAGAGTTGGGTGAACCATGTAAAATATTGTGTTGTGCATGTATGTGTGTGATTGTTATCTCCATATATGTTTGTGTTGATGTGATGTGATGATGTTTCCGCTGTGTGTGATGAAGGAGGGATTTAACTCTAAACAACAACCGACCGTTGAGTGGGGTGGAAGGAGTTAATTATCCCCAACATATATTACATTATAATTCGTTCCATTGAATTCAAGGGATGCAAATCAGTAACTAATTTAATTTTGGAAACTTCACACAAGCTTTGTTCTAATGCAACTGAGCTACAAAGAGGCATACATGCGTTAGGTGTTACATTTGAATAAAAAGCAAAAGTGAAAAGAACAACATATATCGAAACATTTACCAGAAAGAGAAAAAAAAAAAAAAAAAACATATATCGAAACTCAAAAACCAAAAGGCTGTTCAAGTTATTACCATCAGGTGATTGGATCATGTACTTACAGGCAATGTCAATTGGAAGTAGGAGTGTTTACTATGCTTGTAACCAACTTAGCTATGATGTAGTGTTTATTGCATCATCTGAGCTGAACCTCTCAGCCCATCCCATCAGACGTGGCATCTCGATCTCTAGCAATGGTGTGGTGTGGTTCCCATTTTCTTTTATATCCTCAGCCATATGTCAAGGTACCCAAAACTATCCCCACCAAAGAAAGCATTTTCTTTGCTGCACTTGACAAATACCTCCTCCAGCACCACCAATCCTGCAACAACTTGTTCTGCGGCCTTTGCCTCCTCTTCTTGTGCAATCGAAAGCTCCCTCGGTGATGGATATATACCACTGCAACCATTTCAATTATATCATAAAATGGTTACAATAAAATTCATGATTTATGAAATAGAAATTTTTATATAGAGAGTTCACTAAAATGATATGTCACTAGTACTTCTAAAATTAGGATTCAAATTGTGTCCCCAATTTGAGTATTTCAATGCGAAGTTCTATTTCATATAGCATTGCTCTTGAATTAAGTATGGTATAAAAGCTATACAAATAGAATTTTTGACAAAGCCGGAGTTATGAACGTTTAAGATTGAATAAAAACTTCTTTAAATCCACAAAGTATAAATAAGGAGAATTTTGAAAATATTATTAATCATTAAATAATTCTGTTCTCTACTGTACATGTATATATTATGTAGAATTCTTGTAGTATAAAGAAACCCAGAATTTTTTTTGATAAGTAGTAAATAGACCAAAAAATTCAACTATTTCTAAAACAATAGTATAACAAACCTAACCACTAAAAACTACAAAATACCAAAAATCAAGAATAATACAAGTTCGTACGTTTATGCCTCTAACAAAAATCCCTAAATATTAATCATTCATAAAACAAAATATCGGGCCCTTAATGATGGAATTCGATTGAAAAACTGCCTACATCAGCAGCGAAGCTACTAGAATAGGGGTTTTTGGGTCAAAACTAACTAGTCAAAAAATTTCCAAAAAATGAGCCAGTTTGTCAATTTGAACACTCCAGCAATCCAAACGATCTCTTGGAACCAAGGTTCTCTTCAATGAACTCATATTTGACAGACTTTATGTTGAGAGCTATTTGAACCCGATTCGCAAATGGGCTTGGCCTTGTCCCAAGAAACTTCACATCACTCATTGCCATTGCAATTCTCAATGAAGAGAAGCTTTAGAATTTGAAAACTGAGTTAAGGGTTTGATTGGGTTGATATGAATTTAGGGATGATTCGGATGAAGCAAGAGCCAGCACTTGGTGTATATGTACGAGTCTGGTGTGCCTCGAAAATATGCAGGGCCTGCTCAGTCCAAGTTCATGGGGCTAAAGCAAAATTCTAGAAATATTCAACCAAAGTTTTAAGTTCTTATCATGAACCTTAAAGTGTTATAAATACAAGTAATAGATGATTTCATTAGCAAGAATTAAGTTATCCCATTGTAATTGGGAAATTATTTTTGAGAATTTACAAATGCAAAACTTTCTTATAAAGCAAAATTAATTTGAAAATTGAGAGATTTTGATAATAGTTGAACAATAGGGAGTGAGAAAAATATACTACTAATAATAGTAAAATAGTAAAAAGTGAGAACAAGTCTAACATAATAAGAGAGATGTAATGAAGTAGAATTAATAAAACTCAAATTTGAAATTATCGAGAAAAAAATACTCAAATTTGAAATCTAATTAAACATTTTTCATGTGGAGCCTTAGGCAAAACAAGGCTATGCAATTAGCAAATAAACAAAGGAAAAGAAAGGGACCACAACAATCTTACAACTAGTTTACTATTACAATAACGTAATCAATGACAATTTTCAAGATAATCAACAGTTATATAACCTATCAATTATGAATGGTATCATATGACTCAATATTCTCCACCAAAAAGAAGTGTAACAATTTCTTTTTAAAAATACTCTTATTCTTTCAAATATTATGTGAGTTTAAAAGCAAAAAAGAAACACAAAAAAATGTCAAAAATTAAAGGTACCCAATTATAAGCAATTTTAATTGGAGGTAGGAGCTTTTGTTGTGAGTTGAAGCAACTTGGCTGTCTCAATGAGCATCTGAGTCTTTGGAATGACACCCTTCACTGCATCATCTGAGCAAAACCTCTCAGCCCAACCCATGAGACGGCGGCGTTTTGGTATACTCAACCAGCTCCACACTGCCCACCACCCTCAGCCACCCCAACAAACACTGAAAAGCTATATCAAGGGTACCCAATTCGATCCCCGCCAAAGAAAGCCTTCCCTTTGCTACACTTGACAAATGCCTCCTCCAGCAGCACCAGTCATGCAACCACCCGCTCTGTTGCCGAAGCCTTGGCCGCCTCCTCTTTTGCCATCCCAATCTGGTCTCAGTGATGGAAACCACTACAATTATTTCAATTATATCATAGAATAGTTACCGTAAATTTTTTTAGGATAATGCTCGGTTACTGGTATGGTGAAGCTACTCACTCTATGTGTCTATGTGGTCCAATAATCAAATAATACATTACTTTTGACAATAAAATAATTCATACCTTTCTTTGCTTTCTCGGATTAACCATTAAATAAACGTATATAGTATTTTTAGGTGTGAATTATTTTATTATTAAATGTGATATGTTATTTTATTATTAAATTACATAAGGGTGAGTGGCTTCACTCTACTCACTAGTGAGTAGCTAAGCATTATCCATTTTTTTATGTCCAAATGAAATTTTTAAACAAGTTGATAAAAATTCGGGTAAACTACACTTATCTTCCCAATGTTTTAGATTATTACAGTTACTTTTGGGAACAAAAGTCGTTGTGGAATTGGTAGGAACCGTACTGAGCTGTCCCTTTGGTTGGTTCGGTTAGGTTTTCAGGTTGCAAAATGAGGAATTGTTTTTTGATTCCAAATCTATTAAAACCAAATCGAACCAAACTGTAAACTAATATAATATATATATGTATACATATATTACAATATTAATAAAATATAAAATCACATATATAGATGAAACTAAACACACAAGTACACAACAATATGTTGCATTTTTTTAGACTGCACACAAAGATAAGGCTACTATTAATGTAGTAAGTTATTGAAGTTTTTTTGAAAGTAGGTAAAAAAAAAAAAAAACAAAAAAAACAAAAAAAAAAAGGAACTGTGGTTTAGAACTAAACCGGTCTTTCACTGTTCGATTCAAAGCCTCAACGATTCTGATTCCGGTTCCAAGTATCATGGAATCGGTTGGAATCATTTCGATTCCGATATTGTAATGATCCGGTCATTTTCCTTCCTTTCTTTTTTTTCATTTTTACGGATTTTTTTTTTTCCGTTGAATTTTTTTTTTTTTTTCTTTTCCGTGTTTCGGTTTTTGTTCCTTTGGGTTGTCTCAAGTACTCAGGAATAGTTCCCGAGACTCTTTCTTTTGGATTGATACCGTCCTTACGAGGACCGTATCATTTTCACATTTTCTTTTTTCGACATTTTCCTTTTTCGTCATTTTTTCGTTTATCGATTTCCTTCGTGTAACCTCACTTTTTGTGTTAGGATTTGATCTCAGCTTTGCATGCATCCATAATATTTGATTTCTATGAAATGCGTAGTTTTACTTTTTAGAAAAAACATGTTACTTATTTACTTTTTTGTAAAGGGCATGGATGCATAGTTTCTTTGGAAACATTCTTTCTTTTTGGGGTTTTTGTGTAATTAAATTTTGCGATTATTTTTCATCTCAGAAACCATTTTGTAATTTAACTTGCAAGATATTTGAGAAATGACCTTTTTGCAATTTTCGAAAAGTGTGACAAGTGTCACACTCCCATTGATCCATTTGTCATATTCCATTAGTAACCCTTGGAAGCCTTGGATGATGACATATGGAAGGTGATGATTCACCCACTTGTTGGTCTAGGATTGGTACACTTGTTGGCTTGGATTGTTGACGAGTGTAAGGCTTGGATTAAGCCTTGGAAGAAGACTTTAGATGATGACCAGTGTAGGCACATGATATGATCTTGTGAGGAGGCTTGGTTGGTTGACAAGTGGAGGGTGTGGATGAGTTGTGTGTGTGTGAGAGGTAGTGCTAGTGCACATAGTGAGTGGAGAAATACATCATTTCTCTTTTATCTCTAACACTTTTTCCTTTCTTCCTCACTTTCCCTCTCTCCCACCATTGATGAACCTTGAAACCCTAGACCTACCACCATCATTTTGGACCCTTTCCCTTGACATTTGAACTTAACCCTTGGGAAACAAAAGTTTCCCCTCACCTTCCCCTACAAAAACTTTGAAGGGTTTCTTGGAAAACCTTTGCTTTCTTTGGATTCTAGAGCGACACTTCTCTAGTAAGATATGGGGTGATATATGTTTATAATCTTAGTGTTTTAAATGTTTTTGTAACTTAATGTAATTTGTATGCATGTCTTTAACTTAATTATAAAATTTGTTGGTAGTAGTACCTTGCATGAAATTTAGCTAAAGCATGATATTGTTAAAGGTCATGACTTGATCTGTAACTTGTGTTAATTTGAAGACATTTAGAGTTGTTTTGAAATCTAGAGAAATTAATTATTTAATTTAATTAATTTTTATTTATATGTTCTTTTAATTTAAATTAAGTTTTGACTTGATATATGTAATGACCATGATATTATCTTTGACATATAATTATTTGGAATCATTTGGAGTTGCTTTAAAATCTAGAGATTTAATTATTGCATTTTAATTAAATTCTATTTCATTGTTCCACTTATTTGATTATATTTTTGACTTGATATATTTAATGACCATGATATGATCATTGACATATAATTAATTGAAGTCATTTGGAGTAGGTTTAAAATCTAGAGAAATTAATTATTTTATTTAATTAATTTCTATGTGATTATTCAATTGATTAATTAGGCTAAGACATGATTTTAAACTAGGCCTTAACTTGTTCTTCTAACATATATTAAGCTTACTTCATTTGGAAATGTTTTGTAATCTTGCATTTTTCATTAATTTGCTTAGTGAACTTCTATTTTGTTAATGTGATGATTTAATTATATATTTGAAGTTGTTTTAATAATTAAATCATGAAATTAGAACTTGTTTTATAATTACATAAGAGGACTTTATGTATTGAAAATATAGTTGTAGTTTATA